AAAACAAAGTCAAACGAATAGAAAATTTAAAAATTTTCCGGGTGGAAAATTATACCAATCAAACACACTTGAAATCATTTTCCCTACAAAATATTTTCTAAGCAAATCTTTTCCCTGTAAAACATTTTCTTTTTACCCATTTTCCACCCTTGCAATCAAACGGACCTTTACAGAAAAAAAATTCCGTAAAAATAACAGAACACACACATGGAGGGTGGACCCCATTTTTTATAATAATAATTTATTCACATGGGGCCCACCCCATGTGAGTATTCTGGCATTTTTACCGATGAAATAGTTCTGTACAAGTGGTTTAATTGAAGTTTTGTTCATCAATTTTACAAGTGGTTTAATTGAAGTGATTAATGAATATTCTTCTGTCTCAGATTGTGGAAGTGCATGCAGACAACGATGCTCAGAAACCTCTCATAAGAAACCTTGTTTGTTTTATTGCAACTATTGTTGTCAAAGATGTCTTTGTGTCCCGCCAGGAACTTATGGAAACAAAGAATGTTGTTCGTGCTACTTGAATTTCAAGACACATGAAGGGGGACCAAAATGCCCTTGAGAATGTTGTTACGTTTCTTTTTTTGATATTAATTCATGAATAAAATGATATCACGAATAATTTTTTGATGGAATAAATGTTCGGCCTTGTTTGATAAGCCATTTTTTCTTGGGAAGTTGGAAAAAAAATTCAATTTTCTAGGTTTTGGCATGTTTGATGAGCAATATTTTATAGGCAAAAAAAATTCCAACCCCCTCCCTCACGCGACAAATTTTATAATCAATTGTAAAAAAAAAAAAAAATTAATTTAATGGATAATTTCATATAAAATAAAGTCAAACGAACACTAAACTTTGATTAAAAAAATTACTTTTTCATTTTTTTTTTACTTTTTGATAATGTAAACAAATTTTATAACCAATGGTAGAAAAATTTGATTTAAAAAATGATTTTTTAAGAATATATTTTTTTAACTTTTTGGCAATGGAAACAAATTTTATAACCAATTGTAGAAAAAATTATCTCTTTAATGAACAATTTCCATGTAAAATAAAGTCAAACGAAAACAAAATTTAAAAATTTTTCGGGTGGAAAATTATTCCAATCAAACACACTTAACTTACAATTCCCTGAAAAACAATTTTTAAGCAATTACTTGTCCTGGAATTCATTTTCTTTCCACCAATTTTCCACCCTTACAATCAAACGCTAATTTCATAACTTGATCAGTTGGTTGGCATGAAATTCTTCCTTCCTAAATTCAACACAATTTAGGCCTTTTTAAATATTATTATTATTCGGCAATCGACCTTTTTGCACGATTTTTGTACCTTTTTGGCAAAGTTGACGAGAATTTCTAGTATATTTAGACATTCTTTCTTATTTTTTTTTTGCACGAATTTAGAAATGCCAGCCTATGCATTCTCTCTTTCTTCTCGTACGGATTTTGAAATATCTATATATTCTCATCAAAGTAAATAAAGTTAACGTTGTTCTAATTCATAAATCAACAACGGACTATAATTATTAGTTTATTTTTCGAAATTCATCCATCAATAAAAAAATGTCACAAATAATTTTTTTATGGAATGGACATTCATCTCATATTTAACTCAAATCTTTGGTTTGCAGAAATTTCTCCTTTTCATAAATTACTTTGCAATAGTTTTCAATAAAATTAAACATAGAAGCAGTATGATAATATGTACACAATTTGTTTGTCTCACATGGGATTTCATCATCTCTATGTTTGATTCTCACTCTTCCAGTGCAAGTAATGTAAAACTGGCACTTCAGAGAATTCAAAGTTTGTTCGATATATATAACAAAGCAATTTTTACTCATGTTGACGTAACGAAAATGAAAAACCACGGAATATCAGATAAGTTTTTTCGTATTGTTTCTTGAATTCGAGCCCAATTCTGTGGCTTCTGCAACTGCTCTCATCCACTGTAATTTCGTTGTTCCGAGGAGAATGACCTGGAGAAGGAGAGAGAATAGCCGAAGCCATTCCCGTTTCAGGTCCAGTTCCAAGATAACTAAGCGCGGTTACAACATCGCTCATTAATGGCCGGATAGATGATTCATCTTGAAGACACATGGCTGCAACAGCAACTGCTTGATTGAAGCTTTTCTTTGGGAAATCTTCTTTTAGCAGTGGATCGACCAATTCTGAGAATCTATTCTGTTCCTTGAATATCGGTTCCGCCTGTAAGGCTGTAACAAAAGTTTTATATCGGTTCCGCCTGTAAGGCTGTAACAAAAGTTTTACTCTTCTTTTAGTATTATCGTACAAGGAATTTGTTTTATCTTGATGTCAAGAAGATATCTATGTTTTAGCGACGAAAAGATGATTTAACTTACCCAGGTTACTAGATTTTGCTGTTCGTGTCTTCTTGTATTATCGACTGCTCTTCTTCCTGTGATTAGCTCCAATAGTACAACACCAAAACTATAAACGTCTGATTTCACAGTTAATTGACCGGTTCTTTGGTACTCTGGGGCACAATAGCCATATGTACCCATCACCCTTGAAGATACATGTGTATTATCCCCGATTGGTCCTAGCTTGGCTAGTCCAAAATCGGGAAGTTTTGCATCAAATTCCTCGTCCAACAAGATGTTTGAGGATTTTAAATCACGGTAAATGATAGGTGGGTTGGCCTTATCGTGCAAATACTCTAGACCTTGTGCAGCATGCAATGCTATTTTTATCCTTGTGAACCAAGATAATGGCGGTTGATTTGGTGGAAATTCTGAAAAATAAAGTCACCAAATTTCTCAGTCGAACAGTCACAGAAAATCTCACGATGCAATATTGTATATATAGTACCTAGTAGATGATCTTCCAAGGATCCTATCGACATGTACTCGTGCACCAAATGTCTCTATTCTCCATCAGCACAATATCCTATTAGATTTACCAAATGCTGGTGGTGTAAAAGGCTCAGCATCAAAACCTCCACAAGAAATTCTTTGTTTCCTTGTAGTCCATTACGGTCGAGTTGCTTCACAGCTACAATCTGAATTAATTGACCTATTATCCGATCGTTTAAAGATGAAATGAAAAATGCCAAGGTTGCTGAATTTATGTAAGACTACCTGTCCTGTTTTATCAAGATGACCTTTATAAACTCGTCCAAATCCACCTTCTCCAATGAGACATTCTTGTCTGAATTTTTTCGTTGCTGTAGCCAGTTCTCGGAAGGTGAAAGTTTGGGCTGCAATGTTGTTGTTGCCTCCTTTGTCAGTAGCCTTATTATTTGTAGCTTCTTTTTGTGTCTTTCTAGGATTTTCTGCATAAGAAACAAATCATATAATCCTTTGATATATGTAATCAACAAGCAAATTTGTATCTAATTTTCATTGATATCAATAATACTGACTTCTATGTCAGTATCTAGGTCGCATGGTGATGTTTTAAGGCCTGGCTTAATTCCCTTCCAAATGCAGCTGTTATTATTCTGCGAGTCTGGATTGACTGAGAGTTTAAGTTGTCAACGAGGAGACAAACTGCTATATATTGTTCAAATGTTTGAGATTGAGAGATTGGGACGAAGGAGCGAGAGAGGGTCTGAAGCCCAGGTGCACCGTGCACAACACGCCGACAACAGCAGAGCACATGGGTGCTCGGCCGTGCGCATAGTGGCACGACTGTGTGACTGACATTTTTCAAACACGAGACTAGCCGTTAGTCTAATTTGTTGGGAAATATGTAGGAAATCTGGAATAATAAATAACTCCAAGGCACGAAAATCGTTATCTTTTAAGAGATGTTTCTCCCCTTTCCAAAAAAGTCACGACCGGGGTATGATAGAAAATCTCTCTCAGGATACAATGGAGGCGTTTGATTCAAATTGTGACTATTTGATCAAACCAAGAAACACTCTATAGAGAAACTGACGATGCCAAGAGAAAGATAGAAGAATAGAAATTTTTTAAAAAGTGTCTCGCAAATGAGAATTCGCCCAAAATATATAGAAATGGAGGCAACCTTTTGAATAGGTGTGTCCCTTGAGATGAATGGACGCATCTGTTGGAAGAAACATATCTATTCAAAAACTTCTGAAAATAAAATTCTCTTTCGGGGGCGTTGCCCCCGAGCCCCCACGGGGGCGCTGCCCCCTCGACCCCCGCGACCTGACCGGGCAGGTCGATCCCCGTTGCGTAGCGGCAAACACTAGTCGGAGCGGCAAAACATTCGCAAAACAAAAGATAATACATGCAAAATGATGAAAAATATCTAACATAATTTTTCATGCATCTCTTCATCTTGTTTTGGTACTTTTTCACCAATAATCACGTCCTTTCATCTAAAGGGGTAAGGGATGTCACTCTATAAATAGGATGATTTTTTATGATTGAAACACATAAAAAGCATCCCTCAAACTTGCGAATCAGAATCATGCAAAATTCAAATCATCGTTCTTTCTTAAGTTCCTATTCCCGGATTTGTTTACTGCTTTAGCAATCCGTTTATAGGCTAGATAAATCCGCTAAGGCATCTTCATTTCTAGAAGAGGGAACAAATAACGTTTAGGACAACGTTCATTCGCGTTCAAGCCGATTCATTCCATTCTTTTTTTTTTTTTTGGGTTCGCTATTCTATTCTACATGTCGGTAGTGTATATTAATTCAACACAAACTTAATTTATCTTTCAGTAAGCCACTTCATGTTAAGAGGCTTAACACATGAACGGATGTCACACACGGTGGCGGCAAAACTTGAATTTAGGACCCCTCTAATTCCACATCAAACCATCTCAAGCTTTTAGAGAAGGAACAAATTTATTCATTTAAATCTTGTCATCAACATATCCTTCAAGCACCAACCATATTTGTTTTTGAGGTGGGGACGGGTGGGAAAACGGGAAACCCGACTCTACGAACCCGAGGAAAGGCTGCACAGCAGTAGTAGGGGGATGGTCTAACCTTTCACGATTTTCATAAATAAGTGGAAGCGGCTTTTTTGCTACTAGATTGAACCATCTCATCTAGACATTAGAGACGGCGACGTCAATAACTACTAAAGCTAGATTCTCTAATTAATATTGTAATCCTGCCTTTCGGTAGGGAAAAAGAGCATGAACAATATGATCCTAATGTCAAATTTGTTTCAAAATATTCTTACCAAGCAGCGGTTGGGAATTTTGTTGTAATTGTAATTGTAATTGTAATTGTAATTGTGGCTGTGAATGTGGTGGCTGCGGCAGTGGCTGAGGCGGCGGCTCTCTGTGCTGTTCGGTGGCAGGCCTTTCGGATAATTTCTTTTCACGGGATGAGAAACATGAAAAACAACTCATTTCCAATTTTCACCAACAAATAGTCCAATTGATTTCGACCTTTTCTTCCCAAAAGGCCTATGAAAATCTTTATTCTACAAAATGTATTACAAGAATCTGAAAAAGGGTCCAAAATGTTGGGAAAAATCGCCTCGAACGCAGGAATTGAGATTAACGACGAATTGAAATAACAAAGATCACAAGAAAAAGAACAAGATTAAAGTAATGAAAATAGAGGAGAAATTGGCAGAGGAATCGATGTTTTATTCAACAATATGGAGAGAAATTACAAAACTTAGCAATATTGGCTTGTGAAATAATGAATGAGGAGCATCCCTATTTATACAAATACTACACGTACAAAAAACCATAGGGATGTGTCAAGATATGGAAATAATGGGAAAAACGTGTAAAAGGCACCCAAAACTTGCCATAAATCTCGGATTCAGTTTGATCTATTTCCAAAGCCCATTCAATCACGTTTTCCCACATATGGTAACCTCCAATTTGGGGCACAATCCCAACAGTCTCCACATTGACCCAAATTTCGGTGCTACGAACAAAATTTCAAAATTTCTCCACCTGAGAAATATATCCGTCTGCATCGAAAAGAACAATCTCCTCAAACAGTAACCGAAAAACTCTCCATCACACAAAAACATCTTCCTCTGCCCGGCATCCACAAGCGACACCCGAACCCTAAACCCGGGTTCCCAAAATTCCAACAAGGAATTAATTATTGACCAAACAGGGTCGAAGCACTCCCTGTAGCAGAATCCACTCCAGATGCATGATCAGAAGGCCCCTTACTAGAACTGTCACCTTCAACGATCCCAAATGCATTGCAGACATCTCCAACACTGTACCTACGCTCCATGAGTCCAACACTAGTATGTAAACACAGTGAATCCGCTGTACTTGGTGGCAAAGCGAGACCAACACTCTCCTGAGCAATGTTCTGAACTGACCCAGAGTCTGTCACAAGAGGTACTGTACCAAATTGAATTTCCACCACGGTACTGAACTTGTCCAAATGTCTCTTAACTGGTTCTGCGCTCCCCTGCAAGATGTACAACTGAGACTTCATTCGTCCCTCCAGTACAACCCGAGCACCCCTTCGGACCTTCAATGCTCCACCTCCACCAGAGAATTTATACCCCTTTGCATCCAGGGTACTTAGCGAGATGAGATTCCTTTTCAAGTCTGGAACATGACGAACCTGATCAAGTGTTCTGATTGTCCCATCCTGCAACCTCAATCTGACCCGACCAATTCCAGCAACCCGGCAAGACTGGTTGTTTCCCATGACAACTCCACCTTGCTTTACCGCCTCATATGTTTGAAACAAGTCCCGATTGGGACACATATGGTGCGAACATGCCGAATCAAGAATCCACTCCTCGTCAGGCTTGGACTCCACGTCAGATACCACAGTCACCATCACATCACCGCCATCAGATAAATACTCGGTAATATTAGCATCATCCGAATTAGAAGATTGCCCCCTATTATTTGCAACTAAATTACCTTTAGCCTGCAACTTGTCGCAATCCCTCTTGACATGCCCTTTCTTCTTGCAGTAGAAGCAATACACATTGCTGAAGTTCACTTTCGGTCTACCCCTCCGTCGATCACCATGAGAAACCAGAGCGTCCCCATCACTTGATGTAGTAGCTCCAACCAAATGCTTCATCTTCTCCTTTGAGAATAAAGCATCGTAAGCGTCTTCAATGGTCAACGTGTCACGACTGTACAAGATCGTGTCCCGAAACGACGAATAAGAAGCGGGTAGAGAACATAACAGGATCAAGGCCAGATCCTCCACATCATATTTTACCTCCAACGTTTCCAGATCTGCAACAATTTCCTTGAACACAGCCAGGTGGTCTTCCAGTGATCCTCCTTCTGCCATGCGATGAGAATATAGCCTTTGCTTTAGATGCAGTTTGCTCGTGAGACTTTTGGTCATGCATAACTGCTCCAGTTTCAACCACAAAGCAGCCGCCGTTTTCTCTTTCAAGACATCCTGCAGAATATTATTGGAGAGATGAAGATGAATCTGCGATAAAGCCTTCCTGTCTTTCCGTTGTTTCTCCTCCGTTGTCCAGTTTGCTGGCATTTTATCAAAACCCAGCAGAGCATCGTCCAAATCCATCTGCGCCAACACAGCCCTCATCTTTACTTGCCATAGCGAAAACCTTGTATTGCGATCCAGCAGCGGAATATCATATTTCAATGAAGTCATCTCTGAAAAATCTCAATCAAATCACAAAGAACCCGCAACCTTGGCTCTGATACCACTTGTTGGGAAAAATCGCCTCGAACGCAGGAATTGAGATTAACGACGAATTGAAATAACAAAGATCACAAGAAAAAGAACAAGATTAAAGTAAAGAAAATAGAGGAGAAAGTGACAGAGGAACCGATGTTTTATTCAACAATATGGAGAGAAATTACAAAACTTAGCAATATTGGCTTGTGAAATAATGAATGAGGAGCATCCCTATTTATAGGGATACTACACGTACAAAACCCTAAAAAAATATGTCAAAGAATGGAAATAATAAAGACACGTGAAAGAGAGAAAATTTGGCACCTTCAACATATTTCCTTGCCGTAAAAAAACTTGATGCTAATTGATTTCTTTCCAAAGCCCATTCATTCACTTGATGCTAATTTACCCTTTAATGGTAACCTCCAATTTGGGGCACAATCCCAACACAAAAGAACAAGACATGTTGAAGATGAAAGGTATAAAGACATTTATAAGGTCATCTAAAACAAGAAAATCTTTAACAAACTATGACTCGTGATAAAATAAGCATTCCAAAAAATCTATAATGGGGAAGAGGATTTTTTTTTTTTTTTGGGGTGGGGGGTGGGGTGGTGGAATTCCTGCAGAAAATGGAGAGATAAAGGAGGGGAGAATTAGAAGGGACGTTTGGCAATTGTTTGAACAGGTAGAATGTAGTTTATTAAGCTCGTTCATGGTGGCACATTGTCTCATTTCAAACTTAAATTTTCTTGATCAACTTCTTTACCTTTTGAGTATATTGTACTTGAATATTATCGGGTAATTCACATAGTACTTTAGAACTCACCATCCATGTCACTCAAAATCGAGTTCACCCCCAGCTCACTCTCTTTGGGTACATCCGTTTCAAGCATGCTTCTGAATTACTACATGAATGAGGAAATAATGGATCCACAATTTCCTTAATTTCCTCGACTTTCGGATTCATTTTTTTTCTTGATTTCAAGTAACTAACTGATACTCTAAAGATTCTTTGGAAAAAAAAGGGGTCGTATCTCATGCATGACTTAATGTGGAAATGTCAATAAAAAAAACATGTTAAACACGCATACAAATACAGAAAGACCATTTGATTGCAAAGCGACGCGTTAATTATTATTTTGAACTAGTAGATCTCACTCGAGCGAGTTCTCCAGCAACAAAATCAAGACTATATAAATCTATAGATTTCAGATCCTTCAACCAGAAAATACCAAATCCTCACTCATTTTAAACATTATTCACGACGAAATAACCGTCATGGAAAACCCAGTAAATTTGACATAGATGAAGCAAATTTTCATCAAGAAGCAAAGACTGCAATCTTCATGCCCGCATCACAGTGACCTGGATAACTACATATGAAGTAGTGATTTCCCTTTGAAACCATGATCCTATCTTCTCCACTAGTATATGTCCTGGAGTTGGCAGAAGTACTGCACCTATTGTATCCATTCAAATCTACAGCCACCACATTATGCACAGAAGCATCATAGTTGAAAACTGCAAAACCACAGAGAAAAACATAATGAAAATAAGACATAAGAAAAGTTTGCATTTATAGAAATGTAATTATAGGTTGGATGGTTTACGGTGTTCAAAAATGTGTCCCTTCTATAAAACTTAAGCTTTTAGATGGGGTGGTTCAATGTAGTAGCAGATAGGCAGACTTTGAGGAAAGGTAGTTTGATATGCTATTCGAGCAAGAAAGGTCCAACGATCAAGTCTTGCTATCTGTTATTTATTAAAATTGTTCGTGTGTCAAAATTTTGATAAATAAAATGAATCCAGCCTCCATACGAGGGGGCATTCTTAAGGTAAAATTTAAATAAATAAATTTGTCCCCCTTTGACAGCTAAAATTTTTAGACGAAGTGGTTCAATATATGACGTAGTCAGGGGGAGGGTTTACCAAGTACATCTCCAGCCTTGAAGTGTTTCCCATCTGTCCAGTTTCCCATACTGAAATCCCAGCCAGAAGAATCCCCCACAGTGAAAACAGTTGCATGAGCAGCCTCAAACTGAAATATAAGAGAGAGAAAAAGAAAAGATGAGGCGAAAACTACAGATTGCGTTGCACTGCTTCTTCCCTGGCTATAAATTCTGTATTTTGACATTTCCTAGAGAAGTGAATAAAATCCTGGATAACTAGCTATTTATACAATCTTATCAAGTTCTTCAAGCTTTTGTGCCTTTTATTGTGATGTAAGGTGTCTAGTACTACAAGGGTATTTTTGATTGGACAGTAGTGACAATAATTTTAATCATTTTCTTCTTTAATAGTGTACAATACTGTCTAATGTACCATAAAAACATCCCATAAAGGACTATTCATAAGATGAAGTTAGTGGGACAAGAATAAAGAGAATATTATGAATTTCTTTTATTGTCATTCACGGACATACAACTACAGAACAAGCAGCCAGCCTTTGTTTGGTACTTAGTTCACATCAGTGCATTTGGTTGGCAAGAAAATAATCCCGTATGAATGTCACGGGAACTTGAGGTTGGTATGGTGGCTTATCAGGAACAATGAGCAAATATTTGATATGCAATATTAGCCTTTTTTCTAGCACGATAATGTTTCGTTCACTTTATCAAATGAACTACGAGGAAATTCAAAGTTTTCATTTAGTTTGTTGACTCTGTGGTCTAATGTTAGATGTATGCTATATGAATATTTTGTTGTGTCATCCTAGTTAGTTCATTGCAACACCGTCAACCGAAAAATCAAATACATTTAAATCCATCCCATTAATTTTGGTCTAGCTCTCCATCTTCTAACATGTTACGTTGAGGTCTATGTAAAACATTGTCTCAATCACTCAAGTCTTTCTCAAGGAGAAAAAGGGAAATTATACATGTAAACCAAAGAGCATTTTTTTTTGTAGTAGCAGTTTTACTTGGCCGAAACAAAGTAATCACATACCAAGGAACAGAGCAATTTCTTACAAGGCGAATCGTTTGAGGAGATAAATGTGCACTTTTATAAAACCTCCAGAACTCCAGATCAGAAACCTGTGGACGACAGCAGATTTGGCTAAGGCCTGGCTCTGTATTTTCGTCACCATCTTTCTTTCAGTTCATCCTCACTCCATATGCTTCATTCCACATTCCGGCAGATGCATAAACATTAGAAAGGGTAATATGGGAAGTAGAGACTTGTTTTCTGTGTTGCAACATCTTTTTAGCTACCCTCTTGCCTATTTCCGCATTGCCATGTACATAACAAGCACCCAACAGTGCTGCCGAAATGGTACCAGACAATCATCTTTCTCCGAATTCAGTATCTTTAATTTCCTCTAGCAAGTGCCATGCTTCATCTACCTTGACTGCTCGTCCCAGCATATCCATTAGACAGGTGAAATGATCTTCCCTTGGCATCAGACTATATTTGGTCTTCATCAGTTCAAAGTAATGCAATCCTTCTTCCACCAAACCACAACGACACGTTCGTCAATTATGTCGTTACTCTGTCACCTTATTTGGTTGAATACCTGTTTCCATCGTCTGCTGAAAAAGTTTGAAGGCATGAAAACCCAACCAGTGAACTGAATAACACGTGATGATAGAAGTCCATGCAATGGTATTTTTCTCCCTCATCTGGTCAAAGACTGTTTGAGCATACTTCATATTACCTGATTTTGAATACATATCTACCAAAGTAGTTCCAACAACCACATTATGAGTATCAGCACTCATCAATCTCCGAATGATCTTCGCATGTACTTGCTTTCCCGTCTCTATCTCTGATAAATAGCTAATGGCTTCAAGGCAAACCACAAATGTCAAGCAATTCCCTCTACTTTATCCTTCTTCATCACTATACATTTTATACAGCAACTTTAGGACTTCTTGTGGCTTTCTGTGCATACCCTATCATCATTCTTGTCCAAGAAACCACACATTTTTGTCTGGCATATTGTCAAATAATCTCCTAGCATCTTCTATCAAATCATTATGGATGTACCCAGATATCAGTGCGTTCTAATGAGAAGCCTGTCTTTTAGGCATCCAATGATCAAAAACTTTCTTGCTATACATGTCAATAAATGCATTTCCGAGAATAACTTCGTCATCCTTTGAAAACTTAAAATGAAAACAAGAACCAATTAACGTAATAAAAATGCTATGAACTTGCTTCCCAACTCTGAGCAAAGACAGCTTCTTGCATGCAGTTAGAATAGGCAGAATTAAATAGTTTAATCCAAATAGAAAATCTCAGCACGATTCTTTTCTAAACAAAAATGCTTCAATACCTCACTCTATCTTTGATTATAAACACATCCTCTAATTTTTATCATTTTTGAAACAACATCTCATTCTACTCCACTCAAAACTTTCGCAGCAGAGTTTACTTGCCGTAAGAAAAGTACATATGAGCAATTGAATTCAAGCAATTTGAATCGAACCCACTTACGATAGCATAACCATGAATCTAAAATCCAAAAATCGAGTCTTGAACGTTGGCACAGGCCGATAACACGGTTGAGACAGTACATTCATCAGGAAAGCAATTCTCCAAATACGTCATTCTAACTAACTCCAACCCAATTTTCTCCATCCCATTTTGTACAAACCCAGCCAGAGGCGAACTCAGAAAGGAAGTTCAGTAGGGACGAAACCAAAAAACCTTGGAAAAAAATCTGAAAACCTAAAAAAACTTGGACAAAAAAAACTACAAAAATATGAAGAAAAATCGGGAAATCCGAAAATTGAGTGGGGGCGACGGCCCCCACTAGGCCTCATGTAGGTCCGCCCTTGATCCCAGCTAACATAGCGTTCCAAGTAACCAAATTTTATGAAAACATTTCATCAAACAGCTTGTGAGCACATTCTACATTCCACATTTCGTATACATATCCATAAATGCAGTCTCAACAACAACGTTTTTCAACATCACCCCAGCTTCAATGACGTATCCATCGAGGGTTTTTCTCCATGTAAAAGTGTTCAGGGGCAGAAGCTATGACTCGGGCAACGGTGGTGAATATTAGAAAGGATATTGAGCCTAACTCAACCTAACAAAATCGGCTTGTTAGGGGAGGATTGCCCTCACCTTATTAAGTGGATCGTGTAAATATCACTAGCCAATGTGGGACTCTAATACGCCCCCTCACGCNTTATTAAGTGGATCGTGTAAATATCACTAGCCAATGTGGGACTCTAATACGCCCCCTCACGCACAGCGTGGACCATGCCAAATAACTGTGAACAAATCGATATTGGGTGCACCCAACATTGCAAAACTGGGCTGCTCTGATACCATATTAGAAATGATATTGGCCTAACTTAACCTAACAAAACCACTTGTTAGGGGATGATTGCCTTCACCTTATTAAGTGGATCGTTTAAATATCACCAGCCAATGTGAGACTCTAATAGTGAAGGTGAAGTGGTTAGGGTGAGCCTCTAGATCCCACTCCCGGGTTATGAGCGAGAAAATTCGGGTTGCTTGGGAATATTGAGATGGTTCGGAGCGGGCATAAGCGGAGATGAGGGCGGTCCATACGGTTGTGTCCTTGCGTGACACTTGATCGAACACTTGGTATGCGTAACTCAGAGAGTAGTAATCGATAAGTTTCGTGGCGTGGATTGCATTAGTATCCAGGCCCAGCTTGATTAACCGGGCATGTCTGTTCATTCATTTATTCAATTGAATTTAGAGCAATCAAACAATAATATGCAGAGAATTCACTCACAGTACTTTAGGTTGCTGACATTTTTACCGTTTGATTTGTTCTATTTCTTGACAAGACCCCAGCCATATTTGGTCGACCTGGCCCAAATAATTAAGTTGTATTTTAGGTTAATTTTAATAAAAGTTGGTAAAATGTATAGTTAAAAAACTGATAAAAGATGCGAATCACATAAAATTTATAGTTAAAACTATGATAAAATTTTAGCAATTTTTTTTATCAAACAAGCAATGAATAAATTAAGACACTAACAATCGAATTGCGACTATGCCACAATTTTACATCACCAGCGAGTTCGCTTCTAAACGGAAATCAAACAATTTCTAAATCGTTCGATTAGATTTAAAATTGAAATGTTAATAGATCCACGTTGTTGATAGGTTTTGTTGTTCATCTCTACTTGAAACCCAGACGAATCACATTTCGTCACGTTTTCGTCGATAAAAAATCAGTCAAAAATTTTCTGCACTTCGAACTTTCTCCTTTCAAAAATTCAGGGTGCTGCTAAAGGTTGATAGTTTCGCAGGTAAAAATTGTCACGCGTCACTTGATTTTGGAAATTTAATAATATTTACATTTGAATGGCTCGAAAAAATAACTGTGAACAAATCGATATTAGGTGCACCCAACATTGCAAAATTGGGCTGCTCTGATACCATATTAGAAATGATATTGGGCCTAACTTAACCTAACAAAACCGACTTGTTAGGGGATGATTGTCTACACCTTATTAAGTGGATCGTTTAAATATCACCAGCCAATGTGGGACTCTAATAGTGAAGGTGAAGTGGTTCGGGTGAGCATCCGAATCCCACTCCCGGGTTATAAGGGAGAAAATTCGGGTTGCCTGGGAATATTGAGATGGTTCGGAGCGGGCATACGCGGAGATGAGGGCGTTCCATAAGGTTGTGTCCTTGTGTGACACTTGATTGAACACTCGGTATGCGTGATTCAAAGAGTAATCGATAAGTTTCGTGGCGTGGATTGCATTAGTATCCAGGCCCAGCTTGATTAACTGGGCATGTCTGTTCATTCATTTATTCAATTGAATTTAGAGCAATCAAACAGTAATATGCAGAGAATTCACTCCCAGTACTTCAGGTTGCTTACATTTTTACCGTTTGATTTGTTCTATTTCTTGAAAGTGTTATTTCTTGACAAGACCCCAGCCATATTTGGTCGACCTAGCCCAAATAATTAAGTTGTATTTTAGGTTAATTTTAATAAAAGCTGGTCTTGAATATAATATAAATAAAATTATTTTATTCTTTACTTGAATTCTGTTAGAATTAGTTAGGCTGAGCTGTCTAATGCTTGTGTATATATATATGTACTGTAATCTCTTTTTGAGTAAGTAAGTGAGATATACGTTTTCCATCTTTTCTCTCTTTCTCTCTGAGGTTTTTCCCTCTTTTATTCTTGCATAAGTTTTACATGTTATCAGAGCAATTACTTCCGTCAGTGGTATAATCTCCTTTCAATTGGATCATTCCAGTCATGGGGACACATTCAGGAACTGAAATCGAAGGCAACACCATTGAAGGCAACATCCGTAATTATTCGCCGGATAATCCTCAAAGTGAAGATTTGGAGGTTACTGCTGTTGCTGTTCGAATGATATCAGATTCTTCGAATCCTTATTATATGCATTATGGAGATAACACAGGAATGCATATTGTTTCAGTCATACTTCTGATGATAATTACTCAGCTGGGAGCTTTGCCGTGGAGATGGCATTGAGTGTGAAGAATAAAGAAGGTTTTATTGATGGCTCTATACCTAAACCTCCTGACGATTCACCTCTATATACAGCATGGCGAAGGTGCAATCATATCGTTTCATCTTGGATTATCAATTCCATCCCTAAAGAGTTATATCCTAGTGTAATGCACAAAGACTCAGCTCGTCAGATTTGGATCGAATTAAAGGATAGATACAACCAAGGTAATGGACCTAGGATCTATCAATTGAAGAAGATGATTGTCTCTATTTCACAAGGAAATGGACCTGTTAGTGCTTATTTTAACAGATTGAAAGGCTTATGGGAGGAACTATCGAACTATAGACCTCAGATCCATAATGTTTATTATGAAGAGGAACAGATTTTGCAGTTTCTAATGGGGTTGGACAACTTCTATTCAAATGTGCGGAGTCAGATCTTAATGATGGAGCCTCTGCCTCCATTAAATAAGGTGTTTACATTGGTACTACAAGATGAGAAACAAAAGGATGTAGCGCTTAAGGATCAAACTAACCTTGATGCTGCTGCTTTCATGAGTAGAATGATGGCTGGATCGACGAATACTTATGGTAGTCAGTATGGAAAACCTATGAATAATAACCAAGGCCTAAGGAGGGATAAACCTAAGTGCAACTACTGTGGTATGCTTGGCCATTTGCAAGCAAAATGCTATAAACTCCATGGATATCCTCCAGGGCACAGATTGGCAAAGGACAAAGGCAGAAGACATATTCCAAGTGCAAATCAAGTGACTAGAATCACATATTCGAATTCATCTAATCCATACTCCAATCTAACTATTACCCCAGAGCAGTGCCAACAGGTTCTCAATATGCTAAAACCACAGCTCCAAGGTCAATTCTCAAATTTGAGTAAACAACCAAGTGCTACTGCAAAACAGAATCAGAACAATCTGATGATTAACCAGCATGATGACACACAAATCTCCTCACCTCAAGTCCCTAATATGCCCGATTTCACAGCTTTTTCAGGTAGCAGTTTCTGTTTAGCTGTCTCAGAGGTAAAGGAAAAATTGATTATTGACACGGGGGCTACAGACCATATGGTGTGCTCCACCGATTTTTTAACTGAC